CAGCCCAAACCAGTCTGTGATTCTAGACTTCAACTGCAGCTGATCTTTTCCATAATGATTATCTGCTTCAGCCAAAAGCTTTTCAGCAACACAGGCCAAGTGCTTTTGGATTGAGAGTGGGAAGGTATAGGTGGTATTTTCGTGTGAAAAATCTTCTACATGAAAGCCTTTCAACAAAAAAATAGCATCTTTGAAGCAGGATTATATGACAGAATTTGGCTGCTTCATTTGGCCTGTTTCTTTTCCTCTGAAAAATCCTTTCAGTTTTGACGAAATTGTCTTCTGAAATACTGTGTTTCTTTTACTTTCATTTTAGATCAGCTGGAGTTTAGGAAGTCCTGCTTACTATTTCTTCTCTAGGTAGCAGTGTTTGGTTTGGTGCACGTTTGCAGTGCTACAGGCAAGCTAACGTGTGCTCCCTGGCTTGCTTGGCTGTTGTTGAGTATTCCTTGTTTTGGTCTGAGGTGAGCTGGGACATGATATTGAAATGGCAGGTGTGGAATGCTTTTTGGTATTCTCTGTGACCCTGATGCTGAACGTCTGCCTAGTTGGAGCAAAGTGAAATCGGCCAAGTTGGGTCTGCCAGAACTTGGAGGCAGTTTTGGGGAAGAGAGAGTGTCCTGGCAAAAAGGTCATAGAGGAGAGGGCTCATGCAGAAGCTCAGCTGACTAATGCTGTCCTGAGGAGTTTCTTATCTGCCTCTTTGATTCAGCATCCTGAATAGCCCTGGACTCTCACTGAAAGCCTGCCTTGTTTTGGGAAGACGGCACCTTTTTGTACGTGGAGATGTCCTCCCCTGCACGTGATGGCTGTATTTGTACCTCTCTGCAGTACTGGGAAGGAAGTTGGGTGGACATTTTTCTTGATGTGTGACATTGTTTGGTGTGGTCCACAGACCTGACAGCCATTGTTATAAACCTTTTCAGAAGACAAATTTAGAAGAAAGAAGTGAGGAACGGCAGAGGGGAGGGCTGGGGCTCTGCAGTGTTGTTGAAGTTACCCCGAGCTGTTTTTCTAACATAAGAACTTCTGATCAGAATGTGATGGTTCCATTTGTGTTTGCTTCTGGAGGTGAAATTATTTGCAGTGTTATTTTTGAGGAAAAAGACTTAATCTGAGAAGGCGCTTACCCATAGCATGGAGTAAGGTCTAGCTTTGACTAAAGCACTGGTTTCCCTCTATTTGTTGTGAAAGAAAATTTTTTGAGAGATATCCTTAGGGCTTTTGGATTTGTGTGGGTTTTTTGTTTGTTTGTTTGTTTCCTCTGCTCTGAAAAAAAGCTGAGAAGTTAAAATAAGGAAGAAATAACTATCCACACCTGCTTTCTGTCTGCTCTTAGTAAAAATATATTTCATTTTCATTGGGGATCTTGAACAAAAATCAGTGTGCATGTTTCACAAATACTGTTTATGTTACTCCAGTACACCCAAGGATGTTTTGGGTATTTCATTAGTTACTGTTTTGACAGTGGAGTATCATATAGGGATTAAATCATGTTAATCATTTGACTTGCACTTTTCATAACACAGAGCTTGTTACGCTATACTTTACAATGTTTGAGTCCTCTGACTCATGTGCTGTTTTCAAATCTGACAGCTAATGAATGATTTTATTCACTTTTTAGACGAGACAAGCTGTGGATTTGCATGGAGTTTTGTGGAGGTGGCTCTCTACAGGATATATATCATGGTATGTCAAGACTGTAATTCCTTAAAAACTGAGTAAAGCTTATTGTCAGAAATGGAGATGATTGCAGTGGTTTGGAATCAGGGAGGAGGAATCCTGAATTTAGTATCCATAATAATCCATTGAAGGTCAGTTTTAGCTTATGTATTTACATAGTTGGGTAGGTTTGGTTTTTTGAAACAAAATCAGTTATAGTGCATTTTACTTTTCAAAGGCTGTAAAATTAGACAATATTGTATTGTAAAAACTAAGAAAAAAATTATAGGCTGATGTGCTGTCTTCCTAGCCATTTTGTTTCTGAACTTTCGAGCTTTCTTTAGTATAATATGTACTACTGCCTACAGGTACCTAGAAAAGTGGATTGATAAGCACGGATACTCGTCATTTGTAAACAGTGCTCCTTTGTGTGTTTGTGTAACAGTAGTGCCATGAGGGCCCTTCCTGTTTGTTTAATGCTGGATGCATGATGGGAAAAGCAAAAGGGGCTTTGCTTTAGGCTTAGGTGTAACGGGTGGTCAAAGAAATAACACGCTTGTGTAAATCTGTTGCGTAAAGGGAGGATGATTGATGGCTGGTTTTAAGAGACAGTTAGTTTTGAGGGATTTTATTGCCCTGAAATAAAGATTTCCTCAGGAAAGGAGTATGCAATAAGTGAGTAATGGGTCTGTGGCTCTCAGGTTGTGTTTTTCAGACAGGAAATCTGTCCATATTCAAAATGGCAAAGATCGTACGTGTTAGGATGTTCACATCCTTCTCTTGTGCATAAACAGCTGTATACCTTTTTACATTTAACTTGTGTGCAGTTAAAACAAGGCACTAATTCACAAGTTCACACCATGGTTATGGCATAGTCATTTGAGCACGACCTTGTTGAGCCTTTACAACTTGGCTAGTGCTGATAAAAACTGTGTCTAGTAGGCTTTGTTATGTGGAACACCTGTAGACGAGGAAATTAACTCATGCCACAGAAATACACGTAAATACAGGAGTGTTTTCCTGTTGCAGCTGTTTTTTGGCTTTTGTGGTGGTAATTAGAATGGCAGTTTCTTTTCTGATCTTAATTATGTTCCAAAGGGTCTTAGTCCATTCGAACTGTAGTCCTCTGAAATCTTAACTAACTTAAGCTAATCAGAATGAAATTTCTCAGAAATTTAAATGCCTAGAAATATGTAGTCTTTGGTGCTAATATATTTAGTTTTGTATGGGTTTGGAGCTTTTCTTTCAGAAAAAGGAAGGTGGATTTCGACCAGTTTTGAAGATACATATTGCATGATACTGGTTTATGTTGTAGGTTTTGTAGAAGCTAAGGCAGTTAGGTGCTAAAATCTTTCGTTTTTAACTCTCTGCTTCTTCAGTTTTCTTTGAGAAACCACATTCAACTTTTCTATTTCTTTTCTCTGCAAAACCTTAGAAACTTGAACTTCCTGGTCTTAAAACACTTCAGTGAAACAACACTTCCTGAAAACAATTTCAGGATCAAAGTCCAGTGGCTGGGGACAAGTCCTTGCTTGCTGTTCAGTGTTTGGTTTACCTGTTTGTTCAGAATTTAATTGTTTTCCTTTAAGAGACTTGAGTAAAGTGGGACCCTGGAGGGAGAAGATAACGACTCCTTCCCTTGGGAAGCTGCTGGGCCTGCTCAGAGGGAGAGTTTGAGAAGGTGCATGGTGTGGCAGGCCCAGGAGCAACAGTGCTGCTAGCTCATGCAGAGCAGGAGAGGGTTGAGAAGCTGCAGAGAGCAGGTTGCATGGCTGTGGGAAGGACTGGAGGAGAGAGCAGGTTGCGAAGGGTGGAAGGAACTTCCTAGTGCTCAAGGGGGACTGAGCGGAGTTTCCTGCAGCTCTGACTCACAGGGTTGGAAGTCCAGCCCTGCATAGAAGGTTCCAGCGTTTCTTTTCTCTCTAAAGTACTTTTGAGAATGATATATGGAGAGAGTTAGTAGTTTCCATTCCAGCGGGACTAGACATTTTTGAGTTGAATGTTTGATGGTCTTTGGGATGCTGAATCTTGGGGGAAAGTATAAACACATTTGTTTTGAAAATTCTAGTGTAAAATCCAATCATTGTGAATGGAAGTAACTGAGATATGTGTTTGGGTATCTTATCTGATTTTGAGAATTATTGGTTTTTTTCCCTTTCATTTCAGTGACTGGACCACTTTCAGAACAGCAGATTGCCTATGTTAGCAGAGAAACACTACAGGTAGTGTGTTCTCAAGTTCTTGTGGTTGACTTTTAATGTAAAAGTATTAAATAAAAATAAAAGCTAGAAATACATGTGGTGCCATGGAAGTACAGTGTTTGGATGGCTTAGCATTTTTCTCAGATTTTTGAGGACATCCTATATTATAGCCTAGAACCCACTTGTCTAATTGCATAACCTCAAATCATCCTGGATCATTTGAAGAAAACTGCATCATCTTTCTGCTGTTAGTTTTTTTTTTTAAGCGAGGGAAGCACCATGTTTATTAATCCATATTTGTGGTACAAATTGGTTATTGCAAGTTTGAAGGAAAAATTTAAAGACTCAGTTTTGCATATCTGATAGTTGATCTGTGCCAATAAGGAAAAAAAAAATTCTTTGTGTACTTGAGATGTTCAAGTTAAGGTCACCATCTTCTCCTCATAGGTATGCTAGCTTTTATTTTTCTTTCCTAAACTAAAGGTTCAGTTCACCAGTAAAACTTAATCAGAAACTGCTTTTTTGGTGGATGACTTGATTCCATGTTGAAGAGCAGTCCTTGGCTTCTAGTGAATGCAGATCTGGGGAATGCCATCAGCTGAGAGCTGCTGGCTGTGTCAAACACACTTCCAAGGTAGCTCTGCCCCTGAGCCAGCTCTGTAGCATGCCACTTACCATCTCCTTCATCCACCAGTGCCCCCAAGTCCTTCTCCTCAGGGCTGCTCTCACTGCCTTATTCCCCAGCTTGTGTTGATGCTGCGGGATTGTTCTGGTCCAGGTGCAGGACCTGGCACTTGGCCTTGTTGAACCGCATGGGGTTCACACGGGCCCACTGGTCAAGCTTGTCCAGGTCCCTCTGAATGACATCCTATCCCTCAGGTGTCAACCACATCACTTGGCTTGATGTCATCAACAGAGTTGCTGATGGTGCACTCAATCCCACTGTCATGTAATTTATGAAGATATTAATGGGTACTGGTTCCAGTATGGACCCCTGTGGGACACCACTTGTCACTGATTCCCATCTGGACATGGAGCCGTTGAGCACTACTTTCTGGATACGACCATCCAGCCAATTCCTTATCCACCGAATAGTCTATCAAATCTATAATCTTCTTGAAGTATGGAGGAGTGCTTCGATAGTCTAGAGTGGCATTTATGAAATAGTTATTGTGTTGAAAGACTTCTTGTTTTATATATAAAAATTGCATATGAGAAGGAATCTTGCTACTTTGTATGTATTTTCAAAGTGTTATCTGTAGATATTTAAAGTTTTGCATATTTTAAAGTTGTCTGTAAAAACATGCTTACCCCATTCTGACCAAATATGATATGTATAGTTTCTGATATCTTCTTATAGCTTATAATGAAGCAGTCACCTTTCCTAGTAAAAAGTATGAAAATATAGGCCATCTGTCCATCCATAAATGTAACTTCTCCAATGTTAATTGTGCCATCACTTTCCATGAATCTGGAGTTTCACTTGAATGCCTAAAGTTAGAATTTGATCTCCATATTATGGAACCCATTAAATGGTCTGTTTTCAGAAAACACTCACTATCAGTTCTGGTTGGAATCAGTGAGACTGATTCTGAAAATATAGTTCCTTTAAATATGGCCTTTAAAATACCTGCCTCCAGGCATTCAGTTTTGAAAATGGTGACCTCCAGTTCTTCCAGGACAGTGGTAAAATGAGTGAGTTGTTGGGCTTTCTGTGCCAGTAGCATCCAGAGATTTAAATGCGAGTGGTGTACATGATACTGTTCTAGCCAGTTGTTCCAACAGTCAGGTAGATGCTTTCATTACATTCTGTACCAAAAAAGCAAATCAAGTCCATTTTTTTGGGTCTGCACACATGACTGCGGTGAGGACTCTGAAAAACCATTGGACCAACTGGGTATTGTTAGCAATTTCCCACAGAGAAACAGATTAAAGCATGAGTGAGGTTTTTAATCTTTTTTTACCTTATTGAAGGAGTTGAATTTAATAACTGATTAGCAGTTCAGCTACATTGCATTCAGGTTTTCATGGACTGATAAAAATACCCCAAACTGTCTCTTCATTGGTATTGTTACCTATCTGTATAAGGTTGTTCACTTGAACATCTCAAGTACCAAGTCAGGTGTCTTCAGTTTTTCCTGTTGGTACTTTTAGGACCATCCATTAACATGCTGATAACTGAAAACAATCCTAATTTATTTTTGCAATCAACTCCATGATGTCTTGTACGAACTGGCGAAAAAATTCTGTCTTGACATGGGTTTCTCCTATGAAAATGTAGTCTTTACGAAAGTTCATGACTGCAAAGAGAGGAAGGTGTTTGTGTTGTTTTACCCTTGGAGTAGAATTTTAGGGATAAGTCTGGAATATCAAGAGTGATGTGCTCTGTGATTTGTTGTGCAGGGATACAGTTTCATAGAATTCTTCCACAATTTAAGTTTGAAGTTTCTAACTTGTGTTGGGTTCTAAAGTGCTTTGGTACTGCTATCAAGACACAGAAAGATAGCCTTAATGATTCTGTAGAAATCCATGAATTAGAGTGGAATGCCAATGTTAGATCCTAAGTGGTGCCTGCTAGCATGCTGCTTGACTTAATTGAATCTTAATTGAAGTTCGTAATCATACAGGAGGTGACTGCACTAGGTATCCCGTGATCTGACTGATAAGTAGAAGACTCTTAGGTGATTTAATAATCATTAGTTTGATCTAAAAAGGTGACAATTACCATTTCCAGAGGAAAACTTAGTGAAGGAATGCTTTTCTTACAATAGATGTAGTGACTGGTATGTTTTCCATCTCTCCTGTGTTCTAGATATTATGCTACTACATGTATTGAATTTGCAAATGCAGTCGGGATACGTTGAAATATAAGCGTGTTCTTTAGTCAGTGAGTTATTTAGGTGATTGAATTGGATACTAAATATGCCTGCTAATTAAGAAATGTATATAAAATGAAAAATGTTGGACTAAACTATTATCTAAATATCTTTATGCAGGGACTGTACTATCTTCACAGTAAAGGAAAAATGCACAGGGATATAAAGGTAAGTAAAAACTGAGGGGAATTTGGGTGTTTTTAAAACAGGCCTCATCATCTTGTTGGGTCTTTACTGTTTTATATAAATTTTGGGAGTATCTTTAAATATGTGGGGAGTTTCTATCTATTAGAATAAAATAAAATTTTCTGTCCAAGGCAAGAAAAAAAAAAATCTCTGAAGTAGTTTGTTCTTTTAATTCTTTAAATCTTCATCTCAGCAAAGTGGTATCAAAGGTAGCCTGTTCAGACTCTACACTGTCTGTTATATTTACTTCTGGTGCTTCCTGTTGACATTTTGTCCCTGGAATTTTACTACCTACTCTTTGCCTTTCCAAACTCTTTCTTGCTCAGACCACAGCTTAAACTTGGCAGGCTTCTTTCTGGAAATCTGACAGTAAATCGTCATATTCCTTTATGTTGTGTGGGAGGTTTGTTTTCTTTGTTTGCTTTGGATGTTTTCAGACTAGTAGGGGTGCAGTGTACGTAGTAACCTCAGCTGTAGATGCCTTAATTCAGTCTGATTCCAAGTTGTTCTCATTGATGGCAGAACAGTGTCTGTGTTTTGAGCAATTATAAAAATAATTTTTGAATGAAAGATTACTGTGGGCAGAAAATTAAACATTTCTCATTACACTTCATGGAATGTAAAATGATGCTTGTAAGGGTACAGTGCATAGACACTTGTTTCTAAAGAGAACTGTGCTGATAAAAACCACTTAGAGCGTTTACATTGAGAATTAAAAAAAAAAACAACAACAAAACAAACAAACCAACCAACCAAAAAAAAAAAACCCTGTTCGCATGAGCATGGAAAAATACTTCTGCAGATCTCCTGCCTGTTGAATTATGTTTGCTTCCCTCCATAGCCAAGTTATGTATCTAGAGTACCTGTCCTTTTAGTCCTTAAAGGGGAGGTCAACAAGGCCAAGGGCATGTTAACTGGACTGTCACACTGTTTACCAAGCTCCACTTTACAAGGCTCATTGGCAAACATCACACAAGTATAGTTAAAGTAAGCTGCATTGTACTGCAGGCATGCCTTTTCCTTCTCTGTGAAAAGCTATAATCTGTGCAAACATAGGGTTTGTTTTTCTGAGGCCTGTCTGGGCTGCCTTTCCATCTAGTTTGTGGTCAGTGCTGACATTTGGAGCTGTGTTTAGTGGCTCCAGCCTTTGCTCCAACTCAACGTGTACCTGGTTTCAATCTTCAGATCAGGTTTGTTCTCAGTCCTTTTATGTCATAATTTTACGGTACCAATTACTGCTTCGGGTTAGTTGAGATCATTGAACTGAAGTGCGTGGCACCTATAGCCAGACCACAGTGAACTCTTCAAATCTAGCACTAACAGAATCTCTGTTGCATAAAGGCGGAAGTAGATTTGCTGAACACTTGAATATCAAGGAAGGTCCTTAAGGTTATAATTATCATGGTTCTCAGACAAGACAAAACCAACTCCTACATATGAAAAAAAAATCAAACTATTTCGCTTTGACCTTTAAGTTCTTATTTCCTATCAGTCAGTACAAATAGAAAAAAAGTAAAGATTCATCAGTATAGGTAAATCACCATATTCCGCTTTTCCTGAGGGGTTTTGTGAACAATGGAAACTTGTACCATAGGCTAAAGAGTACAAAACTAAAAATGAATGAGAAACCCTGTATATTCGAGTATCTTTATATAAGAGAATGGGAACTTGCTGATTTCACAAACGCTTCCTTGGTAAGGCTGCAGATCTCTTGAACACACAACCCTTGGTTTGTCTTTGGTCCCTAGTTTTCCATAACATCTCACATTTTTAATATATATACATATATATATAAAAAAATAAATAAAAGTATGGTATCAGAGGAATCTGCATGTTTTAATTCAAGTATGCTTACTTTTTTTTAAGGGAGCAAACATTCTTCTAACGGATAATGGCCATGTAAAATTAGGTGAGTTAATACAATTTAGTATTATTAAACCAAATACAGAAGACTGCTTCTTAGATCACACACAAAAAAAATCTGTTAATGGTGTAATGTCTTATGCAAGGAATTACTGAATACCAGAATTCCTTTCCTCTTGCTGGTAATATCTAACTGCACCCTCCAGTTAGTGTCTGAGGAGTAATTGATGTAGTTTTGGAACACTGAGGTAAAAGAATTTCTGATGTTGTAAAAATCAAATCACAGGTTTCTGCTAATTTTTAATAAAATATGACATTCAGAGTGCTTAAGTGTGAAATTAAAAGTTGTCTGAAAGAATCTCTTGGATAATATGAAATGGTGTATTTTATTATATTAAAACACTGCATTTTAGGACTTCTGTGCTAGCCTGCTCTTCCTTTTGTTGATGAAGAACATGTTTGTGTGCAGTCTGCATATTTGGCAGGCAACAGAGCAGCTGACTGACGATATCTGAGATACATTGTTTCCATTATTTGCCTTTTTTTATTTATTTCTTTAAATTGTCCAGTATTTTTAATAAACTTACAGTGAGGAAACCCAACTTGTGTTCATTAACAATAATTACATCTGTTATTGACTGTCATTTTGGTTTTGCTCTTTTTTGAACAGCTGATTTTGGAGTATCTGCGCAGATAACAGCTACAATTGCCAAAAGGAAATCATTCATTGGCACCCCATACTGGTAACTGTGTTTTACTTGGCCATTAGTATAATAGTAACATACAAATCTGTTGAAAACCCAAACCATTCTATGATTCTATGAAAAACTGAGATAAAAGCATGCTACGTCACTTTCTAGGTAGACGGAGTGTTAAAGGCTGTGCCAGACTTTCTAGTGATCATATCTGTATTACTTATGCTAAATCCTGAATTGGCTGAGTATCAGAGAAAATGCTCTAGTGCTCTGAAAAATTGAAAGGCAGTCTGTGTGCTGCTATCACTGTTGACTGATGTATATCAATTTAGTCAAACTTAAAAACTATCAGCAGTTTTACTCTGATCTTAATTTTATTTTTCCTTCCCTGATTTTCCATTCTGGTGCTTTATGTTTCTTCACCTCCACCCTAGATACGTCCCTTCTGCAGCTCTTGGGTTGATAATGATTTGTTTGTCTCCAGAGATTCTTTTGCTGCCTGTGAAATGTCCCCTCTAAGCCATTTTTCTCCCTTATTTGCCTGAACTGATTGAATTCAAACATACATTTCTGTTCTATCTATACTGCATCTTTATTCTTCCTCATTAAACTAGTTTGCATAATTTATTTTTTCTAAACTTCAGCATTTTATTTTCTCATCTTGGTACTGGAAGTGGTTGTTCCCTTGTCACGTTGAAGTAAATGACACGCATTCCTCACTGAAAAATAGCACTTCTGTGGTACATTTCCCAGAAGGATATTCAAAGTTCTGTTGTCTGACAGCATGGTTGGTACAAGATAAAAAATGCGTATAATGGAAAAAAACCCTACATTCAAGTATTGGCTTTAAATAGTCAGGCACAGCATTTTTAGCATTCTTCCGCAATGTAGGTCATGCCAAGGCATAGCTTTGCTTCCCTTTCAGAATAATACAACACCCATCAGTCATGGTTGCTTAATTGGTTTGTGTCTCTCTTTCCTAAGGTGTCTGGGGGACTTTGGTCCTGGCCTGGGTCACTGGGTAACTTCCCAATTGAGCCGGGCTTCTCAAATGATGTGTCATAACCTTAAACAACAACTTTGAATGCCTTACATGGGTTAAATGCTAATGAAAAGCATCATTTTTCTCTTTGCAGAGGTTCTCAGAGATTTGAGAGAAGTAAGGAAGCAAAACTGTTGAGATAGTAGAGAAGGAAATTTAGTTGGAAACAGGCAGGTTGAAGGTTTTAGTGATCATTTGAAGTGTCTGGGCAGTAAGGCTGCGGTGCTGGGGTGGCAGAGAAATGGAGGGCAAAACTGCTTGTGCAGCGTCTTTCGTTCTAGCCGCCCTGCTATTTACCCTGGTGCTCCTTCTCTGTGTCTTGCTCCCCCTCTAACTTGGTGACTCCCTCCTTTTTGATCTAGTGTGATTGGGGGTGTTTTATGAACGCTCAAAGTGTGCAAATGTTGTTTAACTGTGCACACTTGTGCACCACCGAACCTGCTGATGTTTTCAGATCTGGGAGTTAGTACGTATGTGTTTAAATAGAGCATAATTTGAGTTGCTGCCTGCTGCTTTACTGGAGCACTCACAGAGTGACATTCATCTCTCTTACCTACCTTGGGTTACATCTCCAGTTCCACGGCTGCTTTCCAGGTGATTTGGACTAATCAAGTTGAAAGCTAAACAGTTTATGAACGTTTTTATGAACGTTTGCCATCTGGTGTGACTGTGGGACAATCAAATCCATAGTTCACTTTAGCCGTTCAAAACACATGGCAGTGCGTAGTGAATCATTTTCTTACGTATTCCTATTTATGTGTCAGTTATGTTTGTTAATTTTTGCTACCTGAGGTTTTGAAACTACTTGGTTAAAGTAAATGAGGTCTTCTGACACTACGGTGTGGCAGACTTTACAAGCAAGGGGAGCTTTATGCAGAGGCGACAGTGAGTCTTCAAGTCTCATGCTTACTGCATACAAGAAAGCTGATGTTTTGTTACCTTTTTTGTTAGAATTCTTCTCTTCAAAGTCAATTGATTGCTTTCTGGAGCAGAGTGTGGATTTTGATATTATTTGGATTTTACTGTAGTTGAATGGTTATACCTTATTCTCTGGTTGTTGAGTGGTAGTTCATTGTGTTTCAGCAAAAAAGTCTGAGACGGGTTGGTTTCATCCACTTAATGCTAAATAGCTGTTTTGGAAACTACCTATTAGTTACTAGAAGATGATGAGGAAAATGTCATGTATACATCACATAACTTTTTACATACGCATGTGTAGATCTATCCACATGTAAAAATATGTATGCTTATAGATTGAGAAGTTTAGAGGAAAGAGTAGTAAACTGCTGTGTACAGAAGAATGTTTGCTTTGTGGTGAGAAGTTTTATCTCAAAATGTCCTTTACCTTTTAGGATGGCTCCAGAAGTTGCTGCAGTAGAAAGAAAAGGTGGCTATAACCAACTCTGTGATCTGTGGGCAGTTGGAATAACTGCTATAGAGCTTGCTGAACTTCAGCCTCCAATGTTTGACCTACATCCAATGAGGTTAGTGAGGAGTTACAGCTTGGTGAGTAGATACAGCTTTGTAAATAGTCCCTTTAGTGTAGTGGTGTTGTGGTTTAACCCCAGTCAGCAACTAAACATCACACAGCTGGTCACTCACCTCTCCCCTCCAGAGGAAAAGGAAAACTCATGGGTTGAGGCAAGAACAATTTAGTAATTGAACTAATGATACTACTAACACTAATAATATGTAATGAAAAGGAAAATAGCAATAGGAAGAAAACCTCCAAGTGATACCACCTCTTCCCACCTGTTGACTGATGCCCAAGCAGTCCCCGAGCGATGATCGTGCCCCCTGGGCAACTCCCCCCCAACCTATACACTGAGCATGACATTTTATGGCATGAAATCTCCCTTTGGTCAGGTTGGGTCAGCTCTCCTGGCTGTGTCCCCTCCCAGATTCTTAGGGAGGAGAAGCTGGGAACACAGGGGGCAGTATGAGAAGCTGAAAAAGGCCTTGGCTTAATGTAAACATTGCTTGGTAACAACTAAAACTATTAGTTTGTTGTCAGTATTCTTCTGGGCACAAATACAAACCATAGGCTCAAACTAGCCCCTGTGAAGAAAATTAACTATTGCGGCCAAAACCAGCACGAGTGGCTATGTGTGCGTGTGGTGTCTGGGGGTACTGCAAGTGCATTGGATTGTAACTGTCCTGAATGTCCGTGATAGAAATTGTAACAAATCTTTTTTGGTGCACAGACGTGTAATGTTGTCCCGGTAGCATGTCTTAAACTGATGGGACTTCTTCCTGCCAACTCAATAATGTATTCAGTAATTCATCTCATGTGTATTGCAATGTAAACCGCAGAAATGCTGTTGTTGGTTTTTTTGCAGAGCACTTTTTCTAATGACAAAAAGCAACTTCCAGCCTCCTAAATTAAAGGACAAAATGAAATGGTGAGTACTTTTCTGTTTCAGTAGATAACAATCATGTATTTCACTAGGCAATTGATTCTCATGTTTACCACTTTATTTTACAGGTCCAATAGTTTCCATCATTTTGTGAAAATGGCACTTACAAAAAATCCTAAAAAAAGACCTACAGCTGAAAAGTTACTACAGGTATAAATTTATGTATGGATTGTTGTGTGGGTTTTTTTTTTTCTCTTTTTAAATTATAATATTAAAGTATGCTTAGTATGCCTGGTAGGAATTTTAAGCTGTTTCTCATTCTCTCTTTCAGCATCCTTTTGTTACCCAGCCATTAAATCGAAGTCTTGCTATTGAGCTTTTGGATAAAATGAATAATCCTGATCATTCCACTTACCATGACTTTGATGATGATGACCCTGAGGTAGGAATATGTTTCAGTCATAGAATCAGCTTAAGTTTTTGTTTGCTGACAAAGCTAAATTATTATGATTTATTGATCCACAGAATGTTTTGTGATCTAGGAATAGTCTCAAGGGTTGCTTTTTCTTTTTGGCAGGTTGCTCTGTCACATATACAGGCACTTACCAAAATCATTAAATTTGAGGGAAAGAAGGTCAAAGGGAATAAATAAATAAGAGAAAACAGATCATTCTGTTACTGCATCCTGTCTTGGTACTTAACTGTACGTTGTTGACGACTTTCCAAATGTTTACAGTTCCCTAACTTATGATCTCTTTTTTGGGCAGGGTAATAATAATCCTTTTGACGCAAGTGCCATTCATTGATTGCATGCTTGTGTTTTACATTTTTATGGATAAACTAGCCTAAAAATGCCTTTAAAGGAAAATTAAGCTTAAAAGAAGCAACTACTTTAAGTACTAATTTTCAGACTACTTTAAGTACTAATTTTCAGATTTTACAAATTTAATGAGCTTTTACCTTCTGCAACAGCAAAAAACTAGTTGACATGCACCATTTGTCTTGCTTAGAAGTTGAAATAAATGGATGTGGTAAGAAGCCGAAGTGAAAATAAATGGGAGGTGAAACGCTATGTACATGTGTTGAATCCTAATATAAAGTAAGGAAGTAGTTTGTGATGAAGAGGGGAGAAGGGAAATAATGCTTTCATAGCATATTTCAGGGATAAACAGAGTTGCTGAGCTATTTGTGACTCTCTGGTAGTAGAGCAGTTGAAGTTCTTGAACTCTGTCATCGCTTCGTAGTCAGAAGTTGCTGAGTAAAGATTGATTAGTATATATAAAAGCTAATATATGAACATACCAAATTTCTGACACAGTTGTGTCAGGTTGCTTTGATTTGCAGTTGTTTTGCTGCCACATATTCAACACAGAAAACTTAGCAAACATGTTTTTCAGAGATTACTTGGGCTAACATAATGGAGAATGAACTTTTTTTTCTCTCCGAAGAAAAGATTTCATTGTACAGAACATACTGAGAGCAAACTGTTAGGATTTATGTTGCTGATTTTGGGGTCTGATTGTATACTGCAGTCAGCTGGTCTTGTGCTCTTGTTAAGAAATCTTAAGTTACAGTTTCTAGGAACCTGCAGTAGTGGATGTAGAAAGAAGAGAGAAGGTCCAACAAAGGCAAATAAAAGAAAGCCAAATCTTAGTTGATGACACTTCATCCTGTAGAGAAGTAAATGGAAATCCTTGGGAAAAGATTGAAGTAGAACATAAATATGAATGTAAATTTGTAGTAATGATGTCATCACTCTTGCCACACAGCACAAGAATACTAGGAATACTCCTTCTGTTCAGCTGTAAAAGCCTCAGGCTAATGTAAAGAAACTAAAATTTAGGTTAGAAGCTGGGCAAATGATGGGTATCTAAGCAAAGGAAAAGATTCAGTAAGTCAGATTTAGTCTTACTCCTTATTTTGGAGACTACCAATAACCTGAAAGGCACGGAAAAGAAATGTTATCTGAGCGAACACAAATACTGGACAGTATTGTATCTTAAATTCAGTGTTTTAAACCTTATCTGCAGAATATCTATCTGCAGTTGAAGACACTCTGCAGATAAGATGTCCCCAAATAATTCTAACTCTAATGCACAAGAACATACATGCAATCTTTAGTCTCCGCTTCTTTCTTTTTTGATACTGTGCTAAAGAAACCCGCTGAAAACTGGGTACACAATACTGAGTTTTAAGTGAGTATATTTTTTATTGAAGTATTTAATTTTTCTCTTCTAGCCTCTTATAGTGCCTCATAGAATTCATTCAACAAGTAGAAATGTGAGAGAAGAAAAGACACGCTCTGAAATAAACTGTAAGCATGTGTGATATGCTAACATGAAATATTCTTAAAATAATCATTGATATTCACATTTCAACAGGTATTCTGTGTATCTGGTGTATATAGAAACTTTTTCAGTGATAAATAGGAAAATGAAAACTTATGGTATTTCACTTACAGATACAGGTTCTAGATGACTATGCAAAAGAAATATTAATGTAAAATATTTGAATACACCCTTTGTCAGCACTTCAGCAGATCTGACTATTGCTTAATCTTAATTGAACAGGAGCTCTTCTGAGAGCTGATTGGTATAGCTTCATATGCCACTTCAGCAAGGTTATTATTGCTTAACAGGAGCTTGAACACTAACTACTGCTTGAACAGGAGCTCTTCTGAGAGCTGATTGGTATAGCTTCATATGCCACTTCAGCAAGGTTATTCAGAGGGATGACAGATTCTGCTCGATAACAGAATAGCAGAAGACTACTTTTCTTCCTTAATTTGGTATCATGTAGGTTTTGCTTTTGAATTGAATCGGTGATGTGGAAATTAGGAAAGGAGGAGGTTGATCACTGACCATTAAAAGCAGACTCTGTTCCCCAAATTGTAGTCGTTCTTTTGCTTGAATTAAATCAGAGCAATACTTGGAGCTTTAGCTGTCTTATCTTAAGCTAAAATTGAGGGGAGGAGTGTTAAAGAGTGTCTGTCAAGGAGTTGGCCTAGAAGATGTGATTAACTCTCTCCAAAATTCATTCAAGGCTCTTTACTGCTAGTGAATCTCCCAGAACATACCCAAGAGTGAATTCACAGGATGGATGTTTTTTTTCTATAAATTACGGTTGTATTGCCCCTCTTAAGAGGGCACCTCACTGCCCTATTTGCTGGATGGTTTTCCTGATCTTTCTCATGAGTATGTGGGACAAACGTGATTGTGCTGTCTTTGTGATAGAAGAGTACTTTTTCTGCCCATTAGTTTCTAGAAAGGCATTCGTTTAGTATGTGCATGTGTAATAAGTTTCCATCAGTAGGGATACAGTATACTCATTAAAATGAATTTTTCTTTTTTGTTGGCCTTTGGAGCTAAATTCTGACTAATTACAGTGTCAATTCTTGTTTACCTTTTCTCCTCTGTAGTTGGTCAAGTAAAATTTGATCCACCCTTGAGGAAAGAGACAGAGCCACATCATGAATTTGTGAGTAACAAGCAGCATGGGCTATATTCTGCATAAATATCTGTGGAGGAAGAGAAATCAAAGATGTGTAGCATAGTTCCTTAGCACTACTACACTTGGTAATGATTTTTCTGACAGGTTGTAACATACTGATCCTAAATTTTTTGGTGCCATTACACTACATGCAACAAGACCCCACAGAAAGGGTGGTGAGGCATTGGCACAGGTTGCCCAGAGAAGCTGTGGATGCCCCATCCCTGGAAGTGTCCAAGGCCAGGCTGGATGAGGCTTTGAGCAACCTGGTCTAGTGGAAGGTGTCCCTGCCCATGGCAGGGGGGTTGGAACTAGATGGTCTTTAAGGTCCCTTCCAACCCAAACCCTTCTGTGATTTGTGGGCTCTACCAGGTGTGATGTATGTGCTGAGCAACAGCCCTTTGTCTTTTGTGTTTCCTCTGTCCTTTATACCTCATTGCAAAGTATAAAATTCCTTTCGTTTATAGAGATCTTGTTTTAATTGTAGAATTCTTGTGTGTACTCAAATATTTTCTCCGTTGTGCTTGTGTTGATATGGTAGTTTAACTCTGGCCACCAAATACCACAAAACTGCTCTCACACCTTCCACCCCCCCTTCCCCACTTCCTGTGGAGGGTGGGGATTGGAGGGGGAAAAAACCAGGTAGCTTGTAAAATTGAGATAAGAACTATTAAAATTATAGAAAATAAAAGATACGATACAAATGCTCATCACCCGCTGACCGATGTGCAACCACGTCCTGAGAAGTGAGAGTCAGAGCCAGACCAAGAGCCGGAGCCCGAGAGCGATTGCAGCAGAGTCCGAAGGAACCCTCTCAGTGACAGCACAACTAGGAAAGCTAACTGACCCACCAACTCACTACTCGTGAGCCAGCAAAAGAGTTAGCAAAGCAGCTAACAGAAGAGCTAAGGAGCCAGCAAAAGAGTGTTAGGAAGTGTAATGGCCCCTGAGCCCACTCCCTGCTTATGTACTGAGCACGATGTGGAATGAAATACCCCTTTGGTCAGTTGGGGTCAGCTGTCTGAACTGTGCCCCCCAACACTGCCTGTAGTGAGAAAGTTGGGAACACAGCTGCAGTATCAGAAGGTGAGAAAGTCCTTGAACGGGTGCAAGCATTCCCCAGTACCAACTAAAAACCGCCTCATCAGTACTTTTCTCCAGGTAGATCCAGGAACACAGCTTCATGCCAGCCACTGTGAAGAAAGTT